TTGCTTGCTTGCTTGCTTGCTTCCTTGTTTGGTTTCGTCTCTGCAACGAAAACAACAGGAAAAGCAAATACAAAAAGAGAAAGGAGAACAGCTGCCAAAAGAAAGAAAGAAAGATAGATAAATAGATAGGTATAGACAGATAGATGGATAGGCCAAAAAGCCAAAAGCCACAAAAGCCAAAAGCCACAGAAGCCACGAAAGCCACGAAAGCCAAAAGCCACAAAAGCCAGAAGCCACAGAAGCCAAAAGCCACAAAAGCCAGAAGCCACAGAAGCCAGAAGCCAGAAGCCACGAAAAACAAAAAAAAATCCAAAAATAAATACCCCTCCATATATATATATATATTGATACTATGACTATGGTAGCTGCTGCCGGCAACATCAAACAAACTGGAATGCGCAGTGCAACCCCTTGAATAAAGTTGAACGGAGCTGCCCTTCTCCAGCCACACCAGCAACGCCTTGCTTTCAGTGTCTTCATGCCCTGCAACCTCAGTCATCCCCATAAGCTGACCAGCCGGCCAGGCTGGGCAAATCCTGGCGCAGTCCCTTCAGGGAGCTGCGGGTCAGTCCAATTGAAAAGCATTGTGTTGAGAATCGAGCTCTGCACCTTGGATCGAGCCCGGAGAGAGTCAAGTCTCTGGAAGCTGGGAAGCTGTTGTGATCATGTGTTTTTTTTTTGCGAGGGGCTTGGCTATGCTTATTTTAAAACTGATTCTCAGCCTACATACAGGTGCTTGAATGCATTCAAAACAATTCTGTACTTTCATTGACATGCAACAAAAAGGAGTGCAACCCACAAATCTGATGTGGAATAAAAAGCCATGGGCAATATACCAACACATTAGCCAAACCCTTTTGCAACTGCTTAGGAGCCGTTCCCTGAGAAAATCTCCACAGCCTGCTCAACATGCTCGTGCGGTGGCAGTTCATAGACCATGTCCGGCCATCCTGCTCGTTGCAGCAGCACCTGGTATGGCACAGGCTCACCCGCACACAAGCGAACCTGCAGCACATAACGCTTCTCAGAAGGCTGCTGCACGAAGAGATTTTGCAAAGACTTTGCCTCGATCAGCGGTGCAAGAGAGTCCGAACGCATGAGGCTCAAAAAGAGGCGGAACAACAGTGCTTGAGGACTTCATGGTTTATCATTCCCAGACGCTCCATGTATGCCATATATGGCGGCAATATATGGCAGTTCCATTAGTCGTGTCTGGGATTGTCTTGGTTTTGTTACATTCCTGTTACGTATATAGGGGTTCGACATGATTCGTCTTAAAGTGATAGGGCACCAACACACTGGGTGTTCATGAGTTTGTGCCTCTGCGCCAAGGCAGGCAGCACTTGGCAGGAGATGCAGTTGATTGCCATCATCTTTGAAAACACATTCACCTTTGAATCAAGGTCTGCATAGTGGAGTTCTTTGAAGGACTCTATGTATCCGCGATGACTGTTTGGACCATGAGAAGAATGCACTTCCGGGTGCGCCATGCTGACACCGGAAGAAAAGCAAACTCATGACCAAGACCGCTGCTTTCAGAGTCGATCTTGCTTTATGAGTCCATCTTGTTCGATCAGAGTGAACACGGATACCCGGGTTTAGTCTGGATCGCATCATGTTTCCCTTCTCAGGATCTTCAAGAATCAACCACACCACACCATGGATAAAACCATTTCATTATGGCTCGCCCCAAAACAGTTGGTGAACCACACCTGCAGGTTCCCATTTTTCTCTTGTACCAACTGCTCAGTGTCATTGTACTCAGTTGGGTGAGTGCAGTGTATATACCAACTCTTCGTCATATGCACCTCTTCAACCGGCCGAGTGGCATGCTTGGCACCTGGCTCGGCCACATCCAGATGTACTCGGGACACCCTCGGGCGGCTCAAACGGACTTTGGACTCCTCGATGCCTTTCCTGGATCTCAGGCTGTGCATACCAATGAGGGGAAAGCTGAGGCAATAATTAGCAAACGGAAGAAGGCTACAGGATCTCCTAAAGGCTTTTTGGAAAAAACATGAGGGCAGCCAACAGTTTTGTTTTGATAGTTGTGCTGGTCTACAAGTCTGCACATTTAATAGCATTGTCTGGATCAACAACGCATTATTCCCTATGGACCACATATATGTATATAGTATCCTGCCCATCTCTGAAGGAGAGAAAAACAACTTGTATTTACGCTGGCCAGGCTGTTTGCCCATCCTGGGCATTGCTTCAGGAAGTTGACTCCGAGAGGGACATGAGCCTCTCAATAAACATTAAGAACACATCTCTGAGCAAGTCCCAGCTTCACAAAGTCTCCCACCTGCACCTTCAATCCCAAGCGGGTCGCTGCTTGCTTGAGTGGGCCATCTTTGATGTTCAAAATCCGTTGTCCCTCCAGGCCCGCATCGGCCACTTCAAGACCCAACGTCTCAAGGCTGCTTAGCAGGTCGCCTTCGGGCAAAGTCTCCACGGTGACCACCACGTCATCCACACATGCGCAAGCCCAGGCTTTGTCCATGCCCACCTCACAACCTGACTCGGGGCAGCAAAGCTCCAGTGCCAAGTCAGACTTCTCGGCACCACTCTGCCAGCACAGCATCACTCGAAGTCCGGCCAGAGTCACGCCCCTCACAAAGCAAGTCTATCTGTGGTGTTCTGTGCACTTGAATTAGTTGGGCACCTTGCGTCCGGAAAAAGAAAGTCCGGAGTCCAGAACTGTCCAAACAGTTGATCAGCAACACAAAAAGAACATGCCCAGAATCCAGATCACAACATCCAAAGTTCACCCATGAACTCTGCCGACATCTGTTAAACCCTTCAGCACTTGTGCCATCTCCTGCCTCTTCCGGTGAACTGCCAGGTTCGCCATGAGCATCTCCCCTCGCAGTGGCAACTCCACGGGCAACGTGACGTTGGCGTCGTGCTGGTGGCGTTCCAAGAGCATGGCCAGACCGTCGGGACCGTCGGGACCGTCGGTGACGGCATCATCCCAGGTGAGGTGAAGGGATTGCTGGAGGTTCTGGAGAGTTCGTTTCAGATCTTGAAGCTCCTGAGGTCGGTGACGTGGGTCAGGTCGCGTGACTGGGGCGACCGTCGGACGACCCGGTCGCTTGGTGGATTGTAGGGAAGAGCCCCAAGACGGAAGAAACATGAAGACACTAGACTACAAGTACCAGGGGCGTTAACTTATGCTTTGGTGTTGCAGGCTTAGATTATCTTAGATTTTGATCCAGTGCCATATCAAAAACTTGAAGAACAATAAAAAATAACATCTATCTATTGAAGGGCTCCCTTCTGCCGACACACGCCAGCACAACATTATGCAAGTCATCAACGCTCCTTAACATCTCATGATAACAAGCCTATATAGCCCCACCTCGTGCAGTAGCCGAAAACGACAAACAGCTAGCCTTGCGCCAGTGGAGCCAAGGTTCATGCTCCCTGTCTGGAACATACTTCTCCAACAAACTCCCTCCTGCTTCCAGCAGCGCTTGGAATGTGCCTAGGCTCCGATTGGACCCCCGAACCTAGCCTTCACATGACAGATTTCCGACCAACAAAGCTGCAACCAAACTCATTTCAATGTTTTATCTTTAAAAAATCCTTTTGAAGGACCTACATCAAGCCTAAACCTGGCTGGCCAAGTGCCAAGCCACGTGCCTGGCTCAGGCCCTTCAGAATGGAGGATCGCGCAGGCTGGCTGGGCCCATCCTTCGTTACGAGCGGAGTTCCATTGGTCCATGCCAGTGTCCAAATTGATTTAGACATCATCGCTACAAGGAATCCGGGTTTACCCGGATGAAGAGATTTGGCTTTGGGGATCCGAAACCACATCACAAGAGTCCGAAAACGATTAAACCCGAGTAAAACCGCCTAGCCCAATGCTGCTTAGTAAAGCCCGCCATATGGAGATGTTTTACAATCCAAATGCGGGGGGGTATTTACAAGCAATCTACATGATCTACCAACTATGTATGTACATACTATACATATGTATATATATATGGTCAATGTTAGCATCTTGCTATGATATAATAATTATCGGTATAAGGACTCATCACTGTGAGATGCATCTCTTGTATTCGTTTGCTTCCTTAGCAGTCGGTCACCTTCAACTGACAGGGTCTCTCTAAGGCTCCATCTTTCAACAATCTGGGCACCAGATATCATCTGGGCACCAGCTACATCAAGTTTTAGCTCTAACCGCCCCAATCAAGACCCAACTTCTTCAACACCCTCGCCAACCACCGCCCAGCCATTTTCCCCCACCACCAAGCGTTTACTCCACGGAGTTCTCTCCGCGGCACCTTGCGCAGCAGCGCCTCAGCGGCAAGGCGTGCGCCCTTGGCATCGGCCGACTTCAACAGCGAGAGCACGCGGCCGAAGTCCTGGTTGCAGCGCGGTGACGTCCAACGGTGTGCCGAACGCTCCGCGTGGCGCCGACGTGCCACAGAAAGCAAGGATTGACATGTTGTTTTGGGTGCTGCCCGATGTGAAACCATGAGTTTGGGAATGAGACTCATAGTGAAAGCAGTTACTTGAACATCTATTTTTTATAGACAGTAATGTAATGTTGGGAACATATCCATGTCAAGCAGCATGCGCATAGATCGATAAGAGACTCTTCTTCATGTGTTCAACTGTCGGCCCGGTGCTGATATCCACCTAGCAATCCATTTGACCTTGGAAAGCCACTTGCAATTCACAAAGCTCCAAATCTCCAAGCAAACTTCACAACTACGTCAGAACCTTGCAGAACTATAACATACTGTGCACGAGATACACATATTCGTGAGCAATGGGTCGCACCCAACCTATGACCGATGCGAATCGAAACCATCCGATGGAGTGAAGTGGTTCCAAAGTAGATGGCACTGGCACCCCGTCCCTTAGACGTGGAAACCACCATAAACTTGGGGAGTGTGCCCTCTACTTTGAAACGCAGCCAAGGCCCACCTCCTTCAGCTTCTCCTCTGCCTTTGCCAGCAATTCTTCCAAGGGCTTCACCTCTGCAGAGCGCTCGGTGCGCTGGACCTCCACCAGCAAGTGATCCAGCAAAGTCCACATATCGCTGCCCAAGGTATCACTCTCCTGCCAACGGTCTGGTTGTCAGAAGAAGACCGTGGCGAGTTCTGAAGAAGTCCCCTTTTTGGGTGGACTCAGACTCCAATAAGCCCCTGATGTCTAGCTTGTCGCAGTGAAACCGAGATCACACGTCCGATCTCAGCATCAGTGGCATGTTCTGTGCCCCACACGGCTGCATGGTCTCCTGTTCTTCTCCGCTGATGCTTATCTAAAGTACGGAAAGCCAATGCAACACATGTTGTTGCAGCAGGGCCCGCCTCGATCCAACGTAGGTGTAGAAGTGGAACAAGCCCAAGTTTGTTAGAGGAAACTGAGAAAACCCAAAGAGAGGCCACGTAGTGCCAAGAATGTGTAACTATATATATATATATATATTGTGACAATTACTGTGTATGTTATATACATGTACATGCGTCCTTTCATGATACCCATAGAAGCCCGGTGTTGGCCACCTAAACCCTTCAGGCCCTTCTGCCACGCTTGAAGTCCAATGTGCCATGCTGGATGTCCCTGGACGTCCCAGTCCCCGCCTTCACCAGGCACAAAGCCACCTGAGCAGTGTCCGTCTGCTGCAAGGGTGCCACAGCCATGGTGATCTCCTGACGCCGGTGGCTGGACTCCAGCCGTGCCGGCCGGCTGCACAAGAAGTTCTTGGCCAAGCGACGATTGTGCACCAGTCCTTATTGGGTGACTGAAGAGTCCATCTTCTGACAAAGGAGTCCAGTGATGGGTAGTAGATGGGTAGGGACCTATGCCTGGAAGTAGTGATGTCCAGCCAGGCTGGTCACTAAAGGTGGAGATGAGACCCAACACGAGGCCGTGCTGGAGATCCGGAAAGCCTGCAGTAACAGGAGGACGCCTGCCTCTTTGGGTTTGGGGTACAGTATGGTCAAATTACCCCACAACTATACAGTTGTAACTTCTGGGCTATTGTGAGCCCTGAGTTGAGGGGGCGCACGAAGAACACCGTTGTTGATTTTTAGCGCCAAGAAGCCTACAGCCTCGATCCCCTTCTGATCCTTGGCCAAGCCCACGTCCACAGCTACCACGAACATCTTCTTCTTCTCCACCGGGAGGAAAAGCAGGTGGAGATCATCGTGCCTAGGCTAGTTCTACTCGCAGGTTCTCAGCTGGAAATCATATCGAAAATGAAGCCAGCAAAAGTAACCTGGTATAAGCCTCTACTGGGAACAAACACCTGTTCCCTTTGCAGGCGGTATACACACCAAAACGATGAGTAATGAATATGGATTTCTTCTACACACCAAAAGGTTTTGGCGGGTATTGTTCTTCAAGCACCACAGTTCAGTTTGCTTCCTTTAGACTCTAGACTTTCTTTTGGAGAGCAAGCCGAGTTGTGTGGGAAACAACGCATATCAGGGCAGCATCGGGGCATATGTTTTTCTGTCATGGCGCTCTTTGGGCACCTTGCACTGCAACTTGAAGCGCTTTCCCCTCACGATTTGGGAATCTTCCAGCAAGCGCATGCATTGCCCATAGCGGCGGGGCCCACCTGCGTCGCCTGGTCGTTTGGTGGAGGCGAGGCCGTTGGAGAAGCCGTTCGGACAATCATCATCTTCTTTGTATCCTTAGTGAAGTAGTGGGTCAACAAAAGCATCCAAAGCCCGTGTGCAAAGCCCGGTGCAAGGAAAACTATCCACATACCTGCACGTGCTGAAGTAGAAATCAGTAAAATCAGGCCGCCTCAGCTATGAATTCAGAAACAAACATGTATTTGGTTCCTGGAAGCTGTTTTTTTCTCCACCAGGTCTCCATGCTTCAAACTCCAGGGCTTGAGTTCTGCCTCCCCATGCACGATGGTTGATTTCCTGTTTGGCTCCTCAAACTTCACCATGAAACATGTCCACGGGACACAGAAGAACCGCGCTTTTTCAGGAAGGACGCCGGACACACTCAAACGGGCGCCTTTTGAGCCCAAAACATCTCTGCGCAATACATGACTGTTTCCATGTCAAATCCATGTATATAAAATAACCCATAGGAACGTCTATGTATAAGGGGGTGTCTTCCAAATAGAAACTGCTCCTCCATGCAAACCCGCACGGATTCCCCTTGACAAACCTTCCACCAAAGACATTGTGTGATGATGTGGAAGCGACCTTCACTGAAACGCACATGTGACCAAAACTGCGGGTTTGTGTACTTCATGGCCAAGACTGACACATATCATCATGACTTATATTATATAATGCATCTTTATTCATTAAATCACGCAAGGTGTTGTCAGGTCTGTCATTTGAGCGAGCCTTTCTTAATTTCCTCAAGCACGGGTCTAAAGACCACGTGCACGGATACCCACAATGGCTCCACTCGGCCTACCCATGAAAGATTTTGTCAAAACACAAACAAGTTCCTCTACATTAATGGACGATCTAAAGTGAAATGGAAAACAAGAAAGTTACCATTAATTATGGCCAAAAACTAAAAAAGAACATACCATCAGCTGGCAATGTTTGGCCATCAAACTCGATCAAACTCCCTGCTTCCGGTGGATGCACCTGCATGGATTCCAAGAAATCCGTGGCTTGTCGCCGGTGCTCCTCCGACTCAATGGGCACCGGGCGCAAACCGCTGGGCGCCCGGCGGGCATGTAGCAGGAAACGCATGTAACTGGATTCACCGGTTGGGAGGGCCCATATGCGTTTTGACCAAGCTACATAAGAGTGGGCCATGATGTCCTTTCTGTTTTTGTGGGGGCTAGCCGAAGCCTGCGAGAAAAACAACTCGCAAGGCAAACTCTTCACGCCAGCGTTGAGTGAAGATCATCTTGCGGCAGGTCTAGGACTAGGATTTGAGAGAGGCAGCCTCCCAGAAAGCCAAAATCACACGATGCAAAAATGATAACATGCACACACTTGAAAGAAAGCCGGTCAGCCTCCGCAGTGACGCACCTAAGGCAGCGTTTTCAGAACAGAAAGAGACCTGGCCCTGCGGTGGGCACACGCCTCATCTCAGAGGTGAGGTCCATGACCAAATTGGTTCGAAGGCCTCTTGATGTCTCATGTGGTAGCGGTGGAGGTGCCAGTCCTCACACTCCTGCTGAAGGGTCTTCAGTTCCTCCTTCTGCTTCTGGACCAAAGCTTTAGCAGACCTCATCCGGGCATGCCAAAGCGCCATGCATCAGCACGAAAAGAGTTGGAATTGCAGAAATGGGACTATTATATAATATTGTTTTTAGGTTTCAAAACCAAAGCAATGCTATCAATTGATTTTACCCGGAGGCACCACAGAATAATAGTGGCACTAGGTTGAACTATTGTCTGGATGTGGGGACTTTCCAACGAAACCAACATGCGCATGCTTTACTGAGCACCCACAGCCAGAAAAATTGTCCAAACTGTGCTTGGGGAATCTATGGACATCAGTCTTAATGAGATAATCCTTCCCCTTCACCTCGTCGCGTGCCCAAGTCACTCTGCTTCTTGCGCCAGCTCCCGCAACTTCTCCAACTGCGAAGGGGATGTGCTTCTCGCTGCGAAAACCGCACGCGCTGGGAGTGCTTGAGCTGCTTGAGGCTTCTTCGTGGGAGCCACGTGTCCGATCCAAAATGATTCCAACAAGAGATGATGGCCAGGGCCCCCTGGAGGAAGGGGTGTCCCATGATAGCTCCATTAGAGGTCCGGGGTGTCCATTCATAAACTACCCCTGGCGGGTCCAGGTCTAAATGTCTAAGACCCGAAGGCTCCGTCTTCCAACTTCCCCAGTTCGGGCTGCCAGGGCGGCTTGGGTCGCCGAGTCGCTTCGTTCCACCGAATCGTCGTCCGCGACTTCGCTCGCTCATTTGCACCTCCTACGTGGCCCATGTCCAAAAACGGTCTGCAGGTGAGGAAAGGTGAGGAAAGTGGCGCTGGACTTTGGATCAGCGGTTGCCCCTAAAATCCCAGCGATGTGACACAAACAAACGAATGGTGAACTCATGTGGTGAACTCATGACATATGAAGGCATACAGGCATATTGCAAGAGATATTATGATATTATATACAATATACACCTATGTGTATACAGTTTATGTTCTATCTTACAGCATAACTTGAAGAACTCAATCCATCAACCACATCCCCCCACTTACAGTTGGACACAGGCCGACTAGCAGAAATTCATCGGATTCCTCGACCACCAACGGCGACCTGAGGCGGTACTCCATGAGATGGATGGACGAGACGGCACGTTCACATAGAGACATTGGAGTGGCTGACCTGGGAGTTATGGGGTCAAGGTAGGCATATACTGTATTTAATGATGCCATACATGGAGTGTTTGAGTTATGGGAGTCCCTGCAAGAGTCCTGGAAGTGGATGCTGTGTCGCATGTGTTGCCAGCACATCCTCGACAGGCCAACAGGTGGTGCTGGCCATCCACTTCCATGCTCGCCACGAACTGGTGCAGTGGCTTGAAGAGTTCATGCACCAAGCGCAGGAACTGATGTGCATGCCAAACATTCTGATGAATTGACCACTTTTCCATGAGTTGCGTCTTGTGTTCACTGCCCAACAATAATGTAGCGCAAAGCAGCCCTAAGTAGGGGCACCATAGGGCATCCAGTCATTTTAAGAAAGGGGTCAATGATGAAGAGCTTTGCTTTCCTAGGAACTGTAGCCAAAACATGCCAATGGGAATTGTTGTTTATATTCATCAAACATAGGTGCTCCCATCGAAGTGTTGCCCTCCTGGAAGTTGTACCCTGCGTTCAAAATCACCCGGACAACCGTGCCATGCATCTTGGATGTGTTTGATGCTAACAGATTTGGAGGGGATCCTAGGGGTATATCTTCAATTCATCTAAAGTCAGCCTCAGATCTCAGACTTGGTGGAATCCGCCCACCGGCACCGCCGCGATCCCGTCTCCAGCTGCGACGCTGCTTTTCTACTACCCCCTCAGTTGAGAAGCAGCTCATGAGCTGAGACTCCACGCCTCAGCAAAGACCGGAACTAATTGATGAGAAATCCGAAGAAACAACGTTTGCTTCCATGGATCCAGCCGCCCACCAAAAAGACATTGAGAAATTTGTGGCCCCTTGTGATGTCTCACAAGATTTTCCTGAGGTGGGCTGCAAAACCATCCCCTACACATCCAACGACGCAGTTTTCCTGGGATGTAGGAAGTGTGACGCAGTTTAACGGCATCACATTTTGTTTGACGTTCAAAACATTTTGTTAAGACATGTGTGTGAAAAAACATATGATTTAACTAAGTCCTGGCAGCAAAATGTTCAACAAAAAACAGTTCAATAGCTAGCCTTTTTTCAGGGCGAGCTTCACACGTGCAATTTTAACCGCATATCGCTCAGTATGCTGCCCTCCATTTTTTGACGACCCCCGGAAACACACAGGTGCACTGTGTACATGAAATGCACGCAACATGCATGCAACAAAGCGCGTGCTGGAGGGGCCAGAGTCACGCTATAGACACAGTTTGTCGTATACAAAAGTTTTTTAAGCAAAACTTCGAGTAGGGGGGGAGTCACGGTAGAGTCACGCTACAGTCACGGTAAAGGGGCGAACGTGTATCTGGGACCTGCTCACTGAGTTTAAATCCGAATTAGCAAGGTTCCTCCAAAGGCATGAGCGGTTTGTAGGTACCATCCAGCTCTTTTGCCTTCAAATAGAGTTAGATGTGTATTTGTATACCGGGTAATCTTTTTTAAAAAAACTATGAACAAACTTTCAAGCATACGAATAAAACTGTTAATTAACAACAGTTTTTGATAGTCATATGTTCTTACAATTTTCGTGGAACATGCGGCGCAGTTTTTCACGGAGTCATTGATCCGGTTGGGGACCCATCCTGCATCCGTCATCAATGTGAGAATCTGTCCTCGTCGTCAATGGGTGGTCTCCCCCTAAGGCTCCAAGCACCAGGACCGGCTCGCGAGTGAACTCCTCACGCTCGGTCGGTCATGCACAAGGCTCGCTGAGGCTGGGAAAGAAGTGATGGCAATGGGCTCACGGGTCTCTATCCCTGTACCCCTTAACTACTGGAATAACAACCACAACAACCAGAACCGATAACAAAAAAAGAGTAATAATATGGAATAGTGATGAATAGTGTACAACATATTGCTACTGGTACTGCCATTGCTACTGATTCTTCATCCTCGCTCTGCCTGTCGTCTCGTCACATCCGCGTGGACCACGCGTGGACGGGTTCGCTCCTGTCTCCAAGGCTCGCTTCGCCGGGAGCTCTCATGGGCAGGCGTGTCCTGAGAGCTCAACACCATCTGTGTGTCCTCGGTGTCTGGAAAACACACGCCAGTGCCATGGTCAAACATCCTTCATTTCTTAGCTCACCGGGTGATCAACACAAAAGCAAATACAGCATGCAAATACTACAGTATATATGCCAGTAGGGTCCTTAGAAACAGTGATAAAGCGCTAAGAAAGCCTCGTCTGCATGTTCATCCATCACACCGAACGTGCGTGTCACGGGCCTGAAAACAGTCCTCCCATTGATCGTCCTCACAGCGCGGCATGGAAAACGGGCCCACTCAGCCCCAGTCCCGTCTCCTGTTCACACCCCCGAGCTTGCTGGCTCCAAACTAAGCCTTTTCCACCAAACATGCTCGTCCAACCCTTCATCAGCATGGTGGCTGTGATTGGATCAGCTGGTCACATGTCACCTCATCCTCTTCGTCTCGCTTCCGCTTCGAGCAGCTCCTGGTGAGAGGCGGCTGGAAGCGATGGCAGACCAAAACTGTTCTCAAGTGCCATGGGGTCATACCAGTGAAAGGGCACAGTTCTACTTTCTTCTACTACATACTGCATATTTGAAAACGTGTGCCAACAAAGTTCATGAGAAACAAACATAATACAAATAACGGATGCACGGGCAAAACACTGCGTTCATCTCTGATGAATCATGAATTTCTATCGAATCAACAATATATAATATATTTATCTGAGGCCTTTGGGATTTAGACTCAGCTTCTCGACATAAACATCCATCAAAACACGCAACACCGCATCGATCGCCTCCCATGTGCACAACATAGATTGCGCACAACATCGCACAACCTCCTTTAGATTACGCACATCCGCACAACCGAAGCGTAATCCGCAAACCCCCAAAATGTCGTGTTACGCCTGTAGCCAAGGAAAACTGCCAGGAGGATGGCCAACGCGTAGGTCCGCAGGGACCCATCTGAGGATGCTGCCTGACCATCGGATTGTTGAATGATGCCAAAGACATTCTTAACCACCTTCTCACTGGTTTCATTATATACACACCAATAATTTCCAATGTGTTTGCATTCTCTGGAGTCACTGTTCCGCACTCCTTGTGAGAAAAGAACTCTTCACCTGGCTCCCATCCTTCAGGATGACACATTGCACAAGGAAACCCCTAAACATTGGATCTGTCATGATCTATCGATGTCGTTAGACGGTGGATTATGATCCTTCCACTGAGGCCGACAAAATATGTGATACCTCTCGAATATACCGATATAATGATTCTCTTCTATTGGTAGGCTGAGGGAAACAACACAGGCGTCATCCGGCCTCTGGCTGTAGCCAGGGCGCCAACACCTCAGCACTGATCCACTGTTGCTCCATGCAGCTCCTACTGTTGTACATGAAATAAGACAAGCACCTGGAGATATGGCCATCCGTCTATGGACTTGAAGTGTGCTACTACTATATATCTACTACTAAGTGTACTGCTACATACTGCTACAATTTCTATTGCTGTACTAGTGCTATTGCTGCTGTTACTACTGCTACTGCCACTGTAACTGTCGACAGTAGAGATTTTTGTCCATAGTACAGTATTGCAGTAATGATATCTGATATCCCGCCCACCCTCCAGTGCGCAGTTCTCACCCCCAACATTCTTTTTGGCAGTGGCGCACCGCTTCGCAGCGCCAGCTGCAGGAGTAGGTCAGCAAATTGAACCTCCGCTTCAAATTGATGCTCCGGACTGTCCAGCCGAGCACCTGGGGAGGTGGAAAAGCCCGGTCACAGGCGCAAACAAAGTCCCGGTCACGCGCACGCGACACCTGGTGCAGTCTGTTGGAATCAAATCCAATAGAAAGGGTTGCCCCTGAATGGAGAACACCATTGAACAGTCCTTGGTTCAAGACCAACCAACTGAGCCTCGGTGATTCGAAACCAAGATAGAAGGATGTTGGGTCAAACCGGCCTGGTTGCAATTTGTTTGGTTCCCCGACATGATGGATGCCTCCATGTCTGCCGGCCAGTGGCCCAAAAGGGCAGTATTCTCACGGTACGGTGATAGTCTTGATCTTTGAGAAATCGCAGTCTATCCGGTTTTCAGTGGCGAAGGAAGGACCTTGAACATAGGGCGCCTGAGAGGGGCAAACATCTTTGACCAAGACATGTGGCCTTTGGCCCTGTCCGTGGAACATGACCCATCACTCTTGGAGCCTTCTGTGCAATTGCACGTGAAAAAACACAAATAAATAAATACATACATACATATATATATATATATGTATATATTATATCTCTATAACTACAAAATTGAAGCCTCAGGAACACACAGGAATCGGGAAAAAGGACGTTGACCCCAATGGAAATGGTCCTTCTCAAAGCATATTCCACAGCTACCAGTAGGTATTTGGAGATGTATCGAGATCCTTTGAGATATGTATGGCATTAGCAATTGCTTGTTCTGTGAAACCTCACATTGAACATGTTCATTTCGCATTGCCATAGCTCGTTTCACTTCTACCTTGTGCTGTGCTGTCTACTTTCCTTGCACTGGGCCGACATGTCTAGGGAATCTATGAGATATTGTGAGATCATATTTTTCGATGCTGTCAGGCTCCAAAAAGAGCGTTAGAGGTCATCACTGTCTACTTCAAAAACACATCGCGTCTCTGCACGATTCCTACGTCGACATGATGCGCCGTCGACGCGCACCCACGACGACTTAAACTCCTCATGGCCAAGCGACCGTACGGGCGAAATGCCCATTGATTGAAACACGGAAGCGTCGACCAAGTGGCATGTCTCAAAAACGATCAAAAACGAGCATTCCAACTTCCATCCGTTTCTGAACTACTTTCTGAGGAAGTGTTGTCCATATTTAGAGCCACGCCCAAACCATAAAGACGCAGATTCGGTCGAGTGGGCAATTCGGTCATGCGATTTTCGCTTCAAACTACGGCTTCTGCTGCATCTGCCCTCGTCCTCGCGATCCTCAGAACTGTTGTCTTGAGCCGTTTTTGCCTCCCAATGATCAAGACCATTTGAAGGTTGCTTAACGGTTACATACTTGTTTGCATCACTATCAGTGCTGGTAGTCCAGCTAGGCCTCTCCAAAACTCACAATATGCCACCACTGCTCATGAAGGATGACAAGGACTAAAGACAAGGTTTGCTGTCTTTGAATGCACTTTCAACTCAATGACTGCGCACAGTTTCAGGAGATTTCAGGAATGCACTAGTGACTAGTGGAAGGGTTGAGGGCTTTTCCGGCTCCTGCCTCATCTATCTGCTTACTTAGCTGTGCCCCGAAGGAGCTTACTTAACCGCCGCAACGTTGCAACGGCAAGACACGCCGATGCAAAGACCGGCTCATTTGATGTCAATGCGGCAGTTGTGTTGGAACCTCAGGCGCCAAGGCCGGCAATAGCTCGGGTCGCTGAAATTAAGGCACAGCTGCTCCACTCGTTCCCTTGGCACTCAAATGTAGCAACTCTTCAAGTGGAATCTGATGGAATCTGGAACCCGTGTGGGAGACCACATCGTCATTCATGCACCATTGAATATCGATTGCCGCTTGGCTCACCAAACGTGTCCCTAATAGGGCAAGGTGCTTGGAGTTCAGATATGGCTTCAGTGCCTGCCATTCGTTGGCATCTGACAAAGGAAGCGGCATTCGATTGCAAAGACTTTGACGTTTGAAGCGTGATCGTCCCATAAGGACTGGGCGATCACGGTCTTTAAAACATCCTATGGTGGGTCACCAACAGTTGGCACACAGGGTCGCAACAAACTAGTTGGCACAGGGTAGTTGGCATAAAGCCACGTTTTTTTCCATATATGCCATCTGGTCGTGATTGACTATAAGTCTGTTCTCATGATTTCTCATGAACTATGCACGCGGACTTTTTGCTGATACTACATCCAACCCATCCAGTGGAATCAAAGGACGGCTGCTCCCAACGAAGCATATCAAGGCAAACGTGCCTGGGTGTCCAACTTGCTGTCACCTCTCTTCTCCTGGAGAGAAGTGGGCGGTGTGCATCACAGGTCAGGAACCTACACAGTCTAGTAGCTTCTGTCTTAAATGATAATGATAACACCTTTGGGTGATCAAATCTCCCAAAATGACCTGAACAGGATCCTCCCCACCAAGCTTTGAGAGGTTCTAAGGATGTTTGGTGGCCTTACACCTATAGCAACTGCTGATAGAAGCCTCGTTCCTTCCACAAGCTCTGGCAAGCAACGGAAACTGTGTATATAATTCAACACTGCGGTTGCTTGAATCACCTCCCAAAGACCATTTGCATCCATTTGCACCGGGACTCCGAATGTCGTCTTCCTCAAAATTAGTCCAATTGGCACACCCTTCTGGAAACTGCAAAGGCAAACATGGCATGCTAACGATTGGGCTCCAAGTAGGTCCTGGGGGCATACAGTTTTAGGGCCAATTGACTGATGCACCACAGCCATGGCCTCAGACTCGATCAGGTTCTCCAGGTGGTGTGTGCGTTGAACATCGGGCATGAAGGACTTGTAGAAGGCTTCGACGATGCCGCCGGGCGAGGCACTGCCGAAATATTTCATGTACCACCTGAGAAAGGCTACATCCCAGAAGGTAGGATTGAAAGCGAACGCACGGCTACACCTGCAGGATGTCCGGGAATTTTTGTACCACGTTTTATTGAGATGGCCAGCGTGGTTGAGATTCAACATGTGGTGCCTTCCAAAGAGCCATTGGGACAATCAACGGCCTCCATGATGACCTTCATATTTCTCTTGAAATCTGGGTGCTTAACACCAGTCACCAGTGCAAATGGTTTTGCTTGCTTCCAACCACGACTGGGAAGGTTTCAAACCTCCCTGGCTTCGAACGACTTCCCACTCCGGTGGTGGCCTCGCTGCTCGTCACCCGTCGGTGCGTGGGGGAACCCCAAATCGACACGTGTTCAACAGCCAAGTTGCTCAGTAAACTCCTGAAAGTCAATGACTCCATTCTGATCAAGGTCTGCTTCATGCCAGAACCGCAGCAAGCGGTTCCGGGGCAAGTCCGACTTGCCTTGGAGGGGTGTCAAGCAGCCTGACTATGACGACTGGAGTGGTCAAAGAGCCCTGCATGAAAAACATTGAAAAAGAAAACACCTGACTAAATTATCTAAGAGTTTTGTCGTTAGGATTCAGGGAAGAAACTGCAGGTGTTGTGCCGCCGGCACGAGCAGCATGACACAAACTCTGTAGCCTCCCTGTCTAGCAACTTCAATCAACTTCGTCAAGACTTGGTCTGATCAAAACTTGACTGCAAACCAAGAAGCTGGAACAGTGCAAAAGCTCATACATCCTTAATTTACGGTTCAAGGTGCCACACATGGCCACACTTTGGGAAGAAAGGCAGGAACATGGCCACATCTCCCTCACGGTGGGCTCTCGAACATGTCGTAAGATTTGTTGGTTTCAGGCAACAATGTAAACCGTGTGACCTTCTTTCAAATCTCACAGAAATCGTATGCCGCCAGCATGCTGGAAAACGCGTAAGCCGTGTTTCACTTGTTCGAACTGTGGTAATAAACAAAGGTAGCCCAGCTCAAAGCTATGATCTAGCCGGGCATCATGTGCTCGAACTCGTGAAAGTCAATGACCTCAACAAAACTGCCAAACGGCGCCAGGCACCAAAACTGCCAGGTTGGTATATCACAACAAAATTGACAGGTCCAACTGCTCAAAAACAATCGAATTCAATACGCATTAACGTTCGATAACGTTCATACAAAGGTCTTCACTGGAAGTGCAGCTGGTCAGCGTGTTAAGAAATCCTACTATTGGGGGCGGCCTAGTAAACTACCTATTGAACATGCACCCGAAAGCAAAGGTCTCAACTCTGAGACTGGTCTTTTTGATGCTGAGAACGGCCCATTAATTCACCACGTCCTCATTCACATAAAAACTTTTGACACGGCTGTCGTCCTAAAGGTAAGAAGCATCCTCTTTTTGCGCTTTGGGACCCCAACGGCAGAACCATCTCTTGTTGTGTCTTTTGGACTAGTGGTGGTTTCGTGTTCACAGTCAATTGGGCACATTGATGCGGCCACCTGTATATGGGGGGATGTGGATGTCAACCACAACATGAAGAATCAACAATCTAGAGTCTAGTTCTAGCTGCGGATTTCTTGTCCTAACCATCCAATTAAGACAATTTCTAGACCCATAAGAACAAAAGCGGTTTCTTAATAGAAAACTTAACAGTGCTCAAACTGCCCAAAGGAAGTTGCATTTGCTTTGCAAAAGCACGGTTCTGTTCGCCGCCCCTGCCGCCCTGCAGCACACATGCACAACACATCTTCTGACCATGTCCTTGAGAATTT